AGATAGGGAAGGAAATCACTGAAATCCTCCTGAATGCTGGTTTTGCCATCAAACGAAGTAAGGTTAAGGGACCTGCCCGAGAGATCCAGTTTTGGGGAGTAAAATGGCAAGATGGGCGTCACCAAATCCCAATGGACGTGATCAGGAAGATATCAGCCTTGTCCCTGCCAGCCTCCAAAAAGGGAACACAGGCTCCCTTGGGCGCCGTGGGTGTCTGGAGGATGCTCCTCCCAGACTGCAGCCTGATTGTGAGTCCTCTCTACCAAGTGACCCTGAAGAAGAACGATGTCAAGTGGGGCCCTGAGCAGCAGTGAGCCTTTGGAGAAATGAAAGGGGAGACTGTGCACACAGTAGCCCTCGGGCCAGTCCGGGCAGGACAAGATATTAAAAACATTCTTTACACCACAGCTGGGAAGAATGGTCCTACCTGGAGCCCCTGGCAGAGAGCAGCCGGGAGACCCGAGGCCGAGCTCTGGGGTTTTGGAGTCACGGAGACAAAGGACCCGAGATCAGCTACACTCCAAGTGAAAAAGAGACACTGGCAGCATAGGAAGGAGCTGGAGCTGCCTCAGAGGTGGTCATCACTGAAGCACAGCTCCTCCTGGCACCTCAACTGCCGGTGCTGGGCTGGGTGTGCAAAGGGAGGGTCTTCTCCACACACCATGCGACTGATGCCACGTGGAGGAAATGGGGCACCCTGATAACACAAGGGGATAGAACTGGGAACTCTAGGCGCCCAGGAATCCTGGAGGTGATCACAAACTGGCCAGCGGGCAAAGATTTTGGGATGTCACCAGAGCAGGAGGTGACACGTGCCGAGGAGGCCCCACCATATAACAAACTGCCAGAGGAGGAGAAGCGACATGCTCTGTTCACTGATGGGTCCTGTGGCATTGTGGGGACACATCGGCGGTGGAAGGGGCTGTGTGGAGTCCCACATGGTGAGTGGCTGAAGCTGCTGAAGAACAGGGTGAATCCAGCCAGTTTGCAGAGGTGAAAGCATCCAACTGACTTTAGATATTGCCAGGTGGGAAAAGTGAACAGTGCTCTAACAGGGGAACTCCAGCCAGTTCCCAGAGTGGGGCCACAGAAGGACATCAAAACCACCAGTGTGTGGATCTGGCTGCCAAGACTCGAGTGCCTCAGGTGGCCCTGGACTGGCAGCATAAGGGTGAACCAGCCAGAGCTGGGTGGGCCCACGACACCTCAGAGCACCAAGGGAGAGACACAACCTACAGATGGGCTGGAGACCGAGGGGTGGGTTTGGCCATGGACACTATGGCAGAGGTCACAGCACCCCAGAGAGAATCGAGGGGATCCATGGGACTCCCTCCCGAAACAGCCTCATGGGCCCCTGTGCCACGGGGCACGGCCTCGAGTGGGTCTGTCACCTCCCCTGTCACCCACCAGCCCCTGGGAAGAGTGAAAGACACAACGGGCTGCTAAAAACTACCCTGAAAGCCGTGGGGGGAGGGACTTCTAAGCACTGGGCCACCAACTTGGCAAAGGCCACCTGGTTGGGCAGCACAAGAGGATCTGCCCATCGAGCTGG